CTGAATTTAAAGGCTTCTAGGTAACACTCGAGCGAGACTTTCGTAATGAGCTGAGGGAAATTAAGTCTTCTGTGGCTTCCTTAAATACTGATTGTGAAAAAGTAAAGGCTGAAAATGTGAAGCTCAAGGCGACCAATGCTATGCTAGAGGCCACGTGCGCTGATCTTGCCCAAAGGGTGAAAGATCATGAGAGTAGGCTGCTACACCTTGAGCAGTATTCTCGTAATGCAAATGTGGAGCTCAAAGGTATCCCGTACAACGCCACTCAAAACCTTATAGATACAGTGATGAAAATTGGCGAGCAAGTAGGTGTACCACTTCAGGAAGCCGATTTTGAGTCGGTGCACAGAGTACCAACCTCCAATCTAACAAAAAAGAACGTAGTAGTTCAGTTCACACGGAGGCAGAAGAGGGACTGTTTCCTCGAGAATGCGCGTGCTGCCCGGCTCAAGTGCTCTGACGTAGGCTTTGACTCGGAGGAGCCGTTCTTTGTTAACGAGCACCCATGCCCAGAGCTGAAACGTCTACTAGGTCGGGCTACTGCACGCAAACGCGAAACTGGTTGGAAATACGTTTGGGTGCAAAATGGCAAAATTTTCGCACGGCGCATGGACAACGCTCCGAAAATAAAGATTTCATGCAGTGGGGACGTTGCTAAAATGGTCAACCCATTATGAAAGCTGGAAAATAAGACCAATGTTCCAAGCTTTGAAGGAGCCCTTTGTGGTGCTATGGCGCATCTTATCATGCCGTTCATATGTGTTAAGGAGACACATAGTTGTATATGTTGCGGTAGTCTACCCGGAGCAAAGGCCATATGCGCATGCGCTGTTCGCCACACATTTGTTCTCTTTCCGATATTTGTTGCCTGCTTTTTTATTTTTTTTTTTGTTGTCTTGTGTGCTTTAATCTTGGAAGTACCGGTTTGTAGTTGCCGCTTTTGCTATTTTCTGGATTGTTTGCGTTTATGCCTGTATCGCGACATGAGTTGGGAAACAACTTGGCTGCGTTTTTCTGCCCTTGTTGATGAAATCTGTAGGCACAGTGATATTTTTCGTTGTCTGTTTCTCATTTGGAAGTATGTCACTACTTGTCTGCAAACTGACAGCACTTCTATGTTGACCCATAATAATCAGCAATGACTTTATCTTGTATTAGTCCAACCACACTCAAGTCGGATATTGTTGAAAAGTGTAAATCACCATTAACATTTTTACATATGAACATGCAGTCATTACGCCAAAAATATGACTTTTGCATTTTAATAAACGAGTTCGGGTTTTCCTTCTCGGTTATTATGCTGACTGAGGCGTGGTACTCTGATCTTGATACCATACATTTAGACGGCTACAGTGCCGTTTCTTTGAATAGAAAATTGAAAAGGGGAGGCGGCGTATGCATGTTCACAAAACTGGGATTTACCTATGACCTCCTCGATGACTTTTCTTGGTCCACAACGGACATTGAGGTAATTTGTACAAAATGCGACAATTTTGTATTTGCTGTCGTGTATAGGCCACCTGATGGTAACTTGAGCGAATTTTTCACGTTTCTAGAGGCTATTTTTTCGTTTGTAAACGTAAACCAATACTCTTTAATTTTAGGTGACCTAAACAGTGATATGCTGACAAAAACTCCTAAACAGGGCGAATTATCTGCGATTCTCGATTCCCATTTTTTGTTTAATGTAATAACCACCCCACACGTATCACTGCAACTAGTGAAACTCTTATCGACCTTTTTATTACTAACCTAGCAATTAATGACCTATTTCCTGGTACCATTAATGTGACACTTAGCGACCACTTGCCTATCTATTTAGTAACTGATACGTACAATACGGCAAAAGAATTCACTGTAAATATAATATATCAAGACATCAACGCGGTTACACTGTCGCAGTTCCGAACTCGCCAGAACAAGCTGGAACGCAGTTTTTGCGTGCTCTACGGCTGATACCGCATATGACCATTTCATAGAAATTTTTTCCTCGGTATATAAAAAACACTTTCCGTACAAAGAAATAACTAAGCCAAACCGCGCACGTAAGCCTTGGGTAACGTTAAGTATATTGTAAATGATACGTACGAAAAACAGACTGTACCAGGTGTTCCTGAAAAATCGCGACTTGAATGCACTCAAAGCGTTTAGGGCCTACAGAAACAGTCTTTCAAAAACTTTAAGGCAAGCCAAACGCGACTATTACCATACTATTTCTAACGGTATCGCAGATGTCAAGCAAATGTGGAAAAAACTAAACACAATTATATCTTCAAGTAATAGGACGCCCGGTGTCGACGAAATTACAATTGATAATCATATATTTAAAGGAAAAGCATTAGCCAATTATTTCAATGGGTACTTTACTTCTTTGTCAGAAAGTACTTACGACGGAAATGCATTAAGTTGCATGCCAACACCTATAGCCCTTTCAATATTTATTGACCCTACGGAGCAAACTGAGGTAAACACCGTTTTCATAAAATTTAAAAAAAAAAAGGAAAAGTGAGGACATTGACGGCATAAAAATGGAACCGGTTATCTTTGTTATTGATTTATCATCACCCTGCCTGACGCATATTTATAATATTGTTTTAAGCACAGGTATGTTCCCTAAGCGGATGAAAAATGCCAAAGTAGCAGTGCTTTATAAAGGTGGTGACAAAATTGAAATGAGTAATTACCGGCCAATATCGGTATTACCTATATTTTCAAGGGCTCTAGAAAAATTCATTTTCACTAGATTGTATAAATTTTTGGACTCGCATTCTGTGATTACAACTGCACAATATGGGTTCAGGTCTGGCGTATCGACGGAGACAGCGCTGTTGCATCAAAAAGAGTTGATACTGGGCAACATTGAAGCAAGAAAGCTAACATTAGGCGTATTCATAGACTTTACGAAGGCGTTCGACAGAATTGATCACCAAACCTTGTTAGAAAAATTGTTTTATTGCGGGATTAGAGGCATCGCGCTCGATTTAATAGTAAGCTACCTTGGTGATCGGTACCAGCGTGTGTCTATAAATAGGCGAATATCTATGCCCAAAAAAATCAAACGCGGTGTACCACAGGGAAGCATATTAGGACCTCTTCTATTTAACCTTTATATCAATGATATTGTAAATGTGGATCACTCAATAACGTACATTAATTATGCAGATGATACAAGCTTATTCTTTACGGGAACAAATATAGACGATTTGATAAATGCAGCTAATAAAACGTTAGTCAATTTTTCGAAATGGTCCTGCCAAAATTCGTTACAGATCAACAGCTCTAAAACCAAGGCCGTTGTATGCCGTGCGAAAGGAATTACATGTACGTACACACAAAAACTGATGCTAAATAATTTCAATATCGAACTTTCAGAGACTGTCAAAATTTTGGGCGTCATCTTTCATCAACATATGTTCTGGAATTCTCACACTGAACAATTGTGTATTAAGCTAAGAAAAGCCCTTGGCGTGCTGAGAAGGTGTCAGTCGTTTCTACCGCTCCCCCAGAAACTTCTTATCTTTAATACGCTTTTTTGTTCTCATCTACGCTATTGTCAGTTGGTATGGGCTTGTGGAACTGGAACATCAAAACAAAAGTTGTATACACTTCAAAAAAGCGCTTTACGGGCTGTTGCAAATATAGGTTACAGAGAACACACATCCCATTTATTTGTCAAGTTTAAAGTTTTAAAATTTTGTGTTGCATATGAACATAACTTGTTGTTGTCTTTGAGGTCTGAAATTCGAAAGAATTGCGCAAACCTGAGAGGCTTAGCACATTTACAGCCGAAAATTTTGTTGCGTCCGATGCGGAGTTATGAACACTGGCACATCCCCCGACCGCGAACAAATTACGGACTCCAAATGCTAAAGCACTCTGTTCCCCATATACTAAATAAGTTCAAGCTCACAGAACAGCAATTGCGTCTCGTTTCAAGTAGTGATATATTAAACCTGTTTGTATAAGGAGCTATAAACCCAGAAAAATTGCACTCAGTACTTGTAAATGCATGAAATTTTAAGTGTACCCCTTTCTGTTATAGCGTCTTATTTTGGTTGCCTTTTTTCCCAATAATTGTTTGTTTGTAAACACCCAAGTGTGCATCTATTCTGTACTTCATAAACAACCACTAGAGTGTTATTTTCTTTTCTTTTTTCTTTCAATCATACGTGAGCACCGTATGGAATTTGGTGTGCCATTGTTTCTGTTGCCTTGTACAAATGGGAGGTGGGGCTAGTCAAGCTGCTATAGCGCAGCTTTTTTCCTACTTTCCATGCCACAATTGTTTCTTGTTTGTGTAAATCACGGTGTATCGTTGTGGTGAAATAAATTTCAACTTTCAACTTTCTTAAATAAGAAACAGACGCTCAAGTATACACAAACGTTGGTTTCTCTCCACTCGCCCTCTTCGATTAAAAATTTCTCAAGTGATGGAGTACCTTTGCTGTCTTCGGGTTCAAGGCGAATGAGACTTCTTTAGCTTATCTATATGTTATATAATATGCGAGGCGATGAGTTTAGGCTGCGAGTGCGAGGGGCAGTACAGCAGTGTTGTCGGGACGCTAGCGCGGGTGAAGGTTAACACGACCGCGATGCAGCGACCTAATAATTGAAATGCCGGCGCCCTCGGAGAGGTGTCCTCGACGCGTTCTCTCTCACTTGTTGCCCTTCCCTTTCCTCCTCACGCAGTGAGAGAGAAACCCCCGACGAACGTCTCGGTTAGGCTGGCTCTGCGATTGCCTCGGCAACTATGTTACAATGTTGCCGCTGCAAGCGACGGATGCGAATCGAGCTAACCGCAGTAGTAGTATCTCAACTCTCGGCAGTGTTGCGCTTGTTACGGCAGTAGGATGAAGCGCCATCTGCCCTGCACACGTCGTGTGCGAATGGAAGGGGGGGGGGGGGGATGCGGTTATGGCCTCGTCGTGGCGACTCGGCGGTGGAGCCCAAGGCGGGGCCGTGAGGGAAGAGCGTGCGAAGAAGAGAGCAACAACGAACGAAACTGAGCCGCCGAGGTGAGTGTCTCGGCGCTGTGCGCGTCGCCTACTGGATTTCATACAACGTTTGGATAAGGGATTCCCAAGCTTCGGTAAGGATTTTGCAAGAAACGCATACCTTGGCAGTTTTAGCTTTCCTTTCGCTCTTCTTGAACTATTTCTTCTTCCGTTGGCAGAGTTTAGAAGCAATTGCACAGACTCAATCTGTTGGAAGACATCGCTTTTGATTTGTGGCCGATGATCCTTTTGTCATTGAAATGCGGTGTATAAGAAACCAAGCATTACCCGAAGGCGACCTTAGCAAACAAACAGAAACGGTGCATTTGAACGCAATTTTTGCACTTGCTATTGTACATGGCATGTGCAGCGTATTCATTTTATATGTCCCGGTGTGATGACTCAATACCACTGTTCTTTTCCTTGTCCTATACTTTTTGCCGTCTACACAATGCCGATAATTGGAGCGCTGCACAAGAGCAACAACGCCAGCAGCGGTCGACATTCTTTGTGACGGATCGAGTATATGCTGACGATGCAGAACGATGCTACAAGCTTTCAAATTATACATATTCGTTAGCGTACAGCGTTCGTGTTGGCTACGCATTCATGGGCGTTCAATCCTTTTTGCGATTACCTTGATCGAGACACTATGTGTAGCTAAAAACATACTCTGCAGGGCAGTAACCAGCGTTAGGGTCTTGACGTCGTTTATGAGACCGAGTCGCCCAACCTACCCTTCGAACGAATATGATGATCAGTATATATGCAGGTGAAAAAGATTAAAGTTAAATGCTCTGAATATGGCGCTTGCAATACTGTAGCGAAACCCAGCCGATAATGAGGTCATTGCAGTTATCATCATCATCATCATGAGCCTGAACACGTCTACTATAGGACAAAGGCCTCTCCCATAATTCGCCCGTCAATTCGCTCCTGTGCTTGCTGCTGCCACTTTATACCCGAATACTGCCTGATCTCATCTGCTAACCTAACTTACCGTCTCCCCCTAACCCGCTTGCCTTCTCTGATGAATCCAGTCACTCATGCGGGAAGAATTTAGGGCCGAGCTACAGGAATAAAAGTGCAGCGGTGGTTACGTATAACACAATCAGAACGAATACATAAAAAACGCGATACGAGCGGCACCTTTGAATGTTAGATATTTAGACATGAAATGTTGTCAACTTTCCTTAGAAGTTAACGCAATAAAAAAAATTCTCTGCCTGTGAAAAATACCTCAGAATGGCTCGTACGGAGCTTCTGATAAGACGTAAGTGTTTAGCGTAATGTTTCTCTAATGCCTTTTTTAGTATCTTAGACGTGCTTCCCTATATATTGTAAGGCAATATGAATTTTATCAGCTTACTAAGTCTAAATAAAAATTTCGTTATTAAATATTCTAATAATCCAGACTATTTGGTATTTGCCTATGCAGCATCTTCAACAGTAAATGCAAGTGGATTATACGTTCATGAACAGTAAGAGTGACAAAGTTTGCAATAATAAAAGAACAAAAAAAACGGAACATTCATTTTTGTCAACACGTTAGATTTCAGATTTCAGATTTTTTATTGGTACGAATACAAGAATGTGACATGTGTTTAGTATACAAAAGGAGGTCCCAAAGTCAAAGACTGTATCGGGACCTCCAACGTGGGATATGTCCTAACGTGGGATATGTCCCACGTTAGGTGCGACATATCCCAAGGAATAGACGGAAAAGCAATGCAACGGTCTAGTTATTACATATAGAACGCGCAAAAAAAAAATAGCTGGGGAAGTAGTTGTGCTCACTGGTCTCAAATTATGCTCTAAAAAGTGTTCAATAAAGGTTGCAGCAAGAACAGAGATAGACTATGCCTGGATGCACTTCCTAGGTAAATGTTTTTCTTTGAATTTATTTAGCATGGGCACTGGTGATGCTGTGCTTGTAAGAGTATTCGAGTGATTTCAGAAACAGCAGCTGCTCGAACCGACACAAGGCTTTCAGAACACGAGCGCAAGAAGCAATATACAAGGCCGGCAGCTGCGTCAAGACTAAATGAATGTGAAAATTTCTAAGCTAACCTTCACTGTACGCATTTTTCCAAGTAATGCCTTTAGACTTATGGATAAGTACAAAGAAGCAAGCAAACCAACTTTAAAATAATCGTTTTTTCTTCCTTCTTGCTGCTCTGATTCCTTTCGCCAATTTTCAGTGTTGTTTCAGTATTTCAGTGTTTGTACCACCGAAATCACTTGTAAAAACCGATACTGCGGAAACAGCATACCTTATTGCCATACGTCACTGCCATGTGGGCAATACCTGATTGTACAGGGTGTTTCATCCTAATGCTCCAACTGCTAAAGGGGGAAACACGCGCTGCGCGTCTTAAATTGGTCCAGCATTGTTCTGCGACACACGAAGAACGTCATGATGTATAGCCCTATTCATCAAGTAGGGTAATTAACAATTATTGCTTAATAAACTTTTGAAACAGTGATCCCCAGCGAAAAAATTTTAATACAAAAGTTGTAGCGCTTGTTCAGAAACGTCGGATTATTTGATTATTTTATGTATGCTTATATAACTGCCCTGCTTAATTTTCCAGTCTTTCATTAAATTTGGTAAGAAAAAATTGATAAATCTCACGTATTGTGGGAATCGATGATATGCGAAGCACAAATGAGGTAGGTTGAATTGTCACATTGAAATCAGCACAACTTTACGAGGTGGACGTAAATTATGCCGTGCCCGACTTCTATGTATTGATTATCATGTTCGCACCTGGCATTTGTTCTAGCCATCCATTCACGCGACATAGTAGCAAATTTCTTATGTGTGAAGCTAGCGAAATGGCTGCGAGCGCACTATGAATGTAGAATGTAGTCATGTTCTTACATGACGCGCATGTGATGATTATCATGTTTGTACCAGTCATATACTTTCATCATCCATCACATCATCTAATACCAAATTTGGTGTACGTTAAGCTAGCGGAAATACCGCGAGCGCTTCATGAGCGTGGCATGTAGTAATGTTCTTACATGACACGCATGTGATGCTTTCCCCGTGAGGGCCCATCACTTATGTTCGACATGCAGTCATGTCATACCATACCAGCTTTACGAAATGTCATGTGAACGAAACCACCGCAGAAGCAGCAAGACTTTGACACGTAAATGATGACATTCATGACATACTTGTTATGATTTTCACGTTTGTTATATGACTACTCACTAATTCTCATCATGCAGTCATGTTGGGCCACACCAATTTTGGTACCGATTCCCTAAGCCAAACGGTCGGGAGAGCTAAAAGTCGTAGAAAGCTATTAGATGGATGGATGGATGGTTGGATGCGGTCAAACTCACCCAAGTTCACGAGGGAATGCTTCGCATTGAAAAGTCAAGACGGTTTGGCTGTCTCAGGCTAAACTACAGAATAATAAAATGATACGGCACCTACACGCGCGACTAACCAGCGCCACCCGTGCGAGCGTATTACTCACACGATTGCGCTGCAATCGGTTCACGACCCTTGATTCCGCCTGATTGTGTTTCACTGCCCGAGCTTGCGTCCGTATCTCTGCAGAGTCTGCAGAGAGGCGGGATACAGAGCTTCTCCCGCGTGTCCCAAGGTAGCTACGAGCGGCTGCGCGTCCGGCGTCGGGTGAACATGAAGTCGACCCGCGCTTTTGCCCGGAAATCAACAGCGGTGGTCGTCACGGTGGCGTGCATACTCATCGTCTCCTTGTCGACGGTCTCGGGACAAGGTTAGTGCCACGATTGTAACTCTACTTTGTGTGCCTAAGCAGAGTTCTAACTTATCGGAGAGAGAATTGGTGCAGAACCCCAGACATGACCGTGCTTTTTATGAAGTTTCTGTATATCGAAATCGAGTACAGCTTACTGTTCGGGTATAACGACCCAAAAACACCATATAAGTATGAGAGACGCTGTAGTGCAGGGCTCCGGAAATTTTGACCACATGTTGTTCTTTAAGGTGTACCTAAAACTAAGCACACGGACACAAAGCAATTTGTCCTCCATTAAAAATGCGGCCGCCACGGCCGGGATTCAATCCCGTGACCTGCGGGTCAGCAGCCGAGTGCCATAGCCACTAGGCGACCGCGACGAGGCAAGAGCACAACTTAATTTATCAATACAAGAGTTTAAATACATACATACATACGTACATGCATACGTACATGCATACGTGCATGCATGCATAAATGCATAAATGCATGCATGAATGCATAAATGCATTCATACATAATATCTGAGAAAGCTTACTCTTGGTTTGTCTGGGAACATAACGCACAAACAAACGTCCCAACGTGGAGTTGGAGTTGAAATCTATGCCACCACAAGTAAGATTAGAAGCATTATCCGTAAATTATGAAGGAATCTACATATGTTGTGGAGTCAATGTCGCGTAAACTTTCGCCGTTTGGTGTACATTTACGTATATTTTGTTGCGGTGTTGCAGCAATCACATTGACGAAGTGAGGGGACGACGTGTTGTGGTAAACAAAAGCCACCACATTGTTGGCTAGACTTTTTTTCCTGTGTAGGCATTCTTTAAATATATTTATAAATATATTAACAACAATAATAATGTACTTACTGTAGACACGTGCAGCGGCCCAGACCTCTCACTAGCAATCTCAAAAGAAAATTTTTTTCTGTTCGTCAGCGCCGTGCCATGAAGTCAAGTTGCAAATACGACGAGGTTAAGCGCGCACCTACAAAGCTCGCTCAGCCGGGCTCATCGTCTGGCAGGCAGTTCTCATATTAAGGGGGTCACGATGAGGTCACTTCTAAAGCCACAAAACGAAGCCGCCGGCAGCTACACCCATTAACTAGGTGACGTCAGCCAAAGTACCAAGCAAGGACGCTAATCAAAACAAAGCCTTCATGCTCGATAAGCTCATTGTGGCTTCCATGAAGGTCTACTCTGCATTGCTTGACGTCACCTGCTGCCGGTGGTTCTGCCTTTTGGTTTTAGGAGCGAAATTTCACGAACCCTTTTAGCAAACTCATCCCACAGTGGCAGATCTCCCAGAAATTATGTTTTCGGGTTATCTCACGAATGGGGCATTTGGAGCCTTTTTAAAATTTTATTTGCTTTGTTGCTCGCTGCAACGCCCACTTTCAGATCACACAACACAAGCGAAAGAATTCGCCCTCTAACGATTCATGTACGCTCGCCAGAAGTGCGCTGATGTAGGGTGATGTGCAGCGCTTACCCACTCCGTGTTTTCAACTGTACAACGTCATGTGCCACTGGCCCAAAGAAACGTTGACGCTTATGCACACTAGTTAAAATTTTCGGCGGCGGCATATATCTATAACTAACCTACACACCTTAATATAGAACATGACGCCACGAGGCGCTGATAGCAGAACGTTATATTTCAAGACATTGGTAGACGATGACGACGACGACGACCCAACGACAACAACAACAACAACAACAACAATAATATATCACAGGTTTATCGTCGCTAAACCATAATATTGTGAGAGACGCCGTAGTGGAGGATTTGGGTGATTTCGACAACCTTGGCTAAAGGGCCCCTACGCACCCTCGCATGCTTCTCTCAGTACCTTTCCTCTATCGAGAAGGGCTGGCACAGCGTCAACGGACGCTGTGTACAATACAAACGACGCTGTGCATAAGAGACGCTGTCATTTGGCGATAGAAAGCCTGTTTTCTGCTATAGCAGATGCATGCGCGTGTCGCGTCTCCACCTCGCGGGCGCTGAGGAAGGTCACTCGGAGACGTGTACTGGAGAGCCGACAAACGCAGCCAGGAAAGAGCGAAACGAGGAAGTGCGTTGAACTCAACCAGCGCCCACTGCAGACTCGACCGCTAGTGCGACTCCACGTCTACATTTCTGGCTCTGGGTGGCGTAGGGGCCCTCTACCAAATCTAAGCCCATGGACCTCGAGCACTTTCGCCTACATCGTAAATACATGAGATTTCAGAAATTCTGGTTTTAGTGTTCATTAATAGGTATCTACAAAGAGAAACCCTCTACTTCTCGTCCTGCTTACCCCCCCCCCCCCTTTTTTTTGCAGATGTAGACATATGTGACCCGAGCGCAGTGACGGGGTGCTACGAGCTGTACACGACCGCGTTATGGCAAGAGGAGTTCAAGCCCAGTCCAGAGGGCGAGTATGACGAAGAAAAGGTCAAGCGAGGTTGCAGGTATTGTCTTGCTATTTCGTATGTATATTGTAACGGTTCACTGAACACTTTTGATAGGCCAACCTAGGCAGGGCGAACTTGTGCCCGACAATAACAACAACGTAGCTAGAACGAAAATCTCCTAGTTGTCTCGAGGAGTGAATTCTGCCTCTTCCTCGACGTTCTTCTTTTTCTTTTTTTTTTCAACACGGGTCGCGCGCAGCTGGGCCCCGCAGGCTCGTGTGTCAGAAACCATCCGGAAGCCACAAGAATCGGTTCGCGTGCGTAACTTGAAGTCACATTGTGTCAATATTGTCACGCCCTCGGTGACAACGTCCCGCCCACGTGATAATGTCACGCCCTCGGTGGTTTCAACACGTAACCTTTCGTGTGGGCGAACCTGCATGCCCAGAAACTGAAAGGTAGAAGTGAATCGTGGCATTGGCGACTTGGTGAGAATTCTGCAGGATGCTAATCTGTCACTGTATTTTTTTTTATATTGCAGCCACATCGAAGAGAAGTTCCCGTGCCATCGATATCTGGCCCATTGCTCTGAAGCAGTGACTGGCGAACTCAGGATCCAAGAAAGGGGATACGAAGCGTTGCGAAACATTGTGTGATGTTAACGCTCTGAAAGGTGGGTACATATAGATTGAGAGATAGAAACAGAACTAGGAAAAATGTGGCTGTGAAGTTCACTTGAGTAAATGAATGAAATAAGGGGAACTTTGATGAGAACCAGCAAACAATGATACGAAGAAAAGTGTGGAGGATGTTATTCGTGGTAACTTTAAGACAAATGGTAACATAGCAAAATGGATGAAACGATAACCTGATAACCTGCCGGTGGCAAGAGCCTAATTTTCGGCCTTCGAATGACGTGTCCGATGCTCTACCACGTGAACTAGAGCGACGGTCATCTCTCCGGTCACTTTATGACATAAATATTTGCATTTAAACATGCGAGCGTCAGCCAGAGCTGCAAGTTGCCATGACAGTGAGCATGTGCACTCTTTCGGCCTGTTGGTGTCACTTAGCACGTGATCTCATTACGATCTGGCAGCTGAGTAGTGATCCCTCGCATACCACCCCGAGACATCAAGCCTGCCAGAACGAGAACCTCGCTATGAATGAAAGAAGTGGAAATTCGTTGTCTCATTTGTCTCTGTTGGGCACAATATTTATGAGAACAACAGACAATCAAAAGTTTCTTCACAGTTACATTGCAATTCTAATAGCACTATGTAATCTTTCCTAGACACGATTGTTTTTTAGTTTTCATTACTATCGGACCCAATCAAGTGTTATTTTAACGTCATAGTCATCGGCCTGGCTACGTCCACTGCCTCGCAAAAGTATTTGCCATGTTGTACTAATTAACGCCTATGTCCTGTGCTTGCCGCAGTTATGTTATCACTGCATAGTTCTATATACTATGTCCTGTGCTTGCCGCAGTTAAGTTATCACTGCAAACTTCTATATACTATCGGCCCATCACTATGCACACCCCTAGGCACGCCTGTAACCCTACCTTCTATACTTTCCCATTATTCATTCCCCTACCCCCACAAGACGCTGCACCGCGCTCCCTTAAGGGCTGCAGAAATAAGCGTCTTTTGCCTTTCTTCGCCGAACCACTACCACCCCAGGCCTGCATTCTATTGAATTTGAAATTTGGTCTGTTATTAATAAGCGATTCATAGGCGTCGTGCTCAGGGTTCTCTATCAGGGGGGATAGGGTGCTAAAGTTTTTCGCAGCACCCCCCTTCCTATCATGTCAATGTATGGGGCTGACTTTGCGCCCCCTCCCCCCTCTGTACGCACGCTTATGAAAGGATTCATGTACCATCACTCGGGCTATCTGAGAAAAGGCTTCTTATGAGTAACACATATGGCTGTTAACATCTCGGCCAAATCTTTCAGTCAAGCGCGGAAATGAGCGTTGAGAAGCCGAGCGCAAAGGGATAGAGAAAAAGAATAAGGATAAACGCACGGAGGTTAAGCAGGGCTGAGCCCCGACAGGCTACTCTGCATTGGGGAAGGGGAGAGGGAGAAGAAAAGTTATAGAGAAGACTTCACGAAGACTTCATGAAGTGAAGCTGGGTCATTCCACGCCAACTTTTCAACTTTGGCACTCGGCCATCTCCTATTTACCAGAAAAACAATGCACAAGTGTTTGCCCAAAACCTTTTGTGCGAAAAAATTTTTCCGGTACCGCAAGCGTCATTTGAATCTTTTCGGAAAGCCTGAAACAGTAGCTGGTAAAACACATTGTCGAAAAATTCGTTCTTGTGAAAGTATGTTTAGACAAATGTTTACCCTTAGAATAATGGTAGGCACTTTATTTGAAATATAACTTTACGAGAATTCACGCTTTCGTGGATTTTTTATTTGACCTCGAATAAGAAGAGAATGGTCCACATTGGGGTTTTTTTATAGAAAGAGAACATTAAGGAAAATGTGATAGTTGACATTATTAGAATATTGCCAAAATGTTTTACTGTAGCCCCAAATTAGTTCCAGGCGTATACAGTGCGAAATAATGTTTATAGGTGGCGACAATGCGAAGATGTTCGTTTTTGCACATATTCGGCCGTAAATTAAACATTGAGTCAGTTCTACTAAAAATATGCTCAATAGCAGATTTAGTAGCAAATTTTATTGGCTACTCACTGAAAAATCTGTTAAGGTAATTTTTTTTAAGCGAGAGGAATATTCTTGAATTTGTGTGCTACCGCTCTCGGGGTTTGAACGTCGTGTTTTTAGCCATAACAATGCGTCCTAGCAGTAAGTACAAGCTGCACGGACGTAGAATCATTTAGACACAGTAATAAACTTTGTCCGTACCTATTCAAGCTATTTACAAACTACTATTATACTCTTAGTTAACGAAAAACGCGAGACCTACTTGACAGCACTTAGCCGTATGCAGCCGTCTGCTGACAACCTGCGTATATATATGTGGTTACGTAGCACCGGGAAGTGGTATCGATGTGTGGAACACACCGCTACCTAAATGCTATTTAGAAGTGGGAAGAGCACAATGAAGGAAAGGATCAATCTATGCGAAAACAAAGAAAAATAGGCAGATCCCACGTACCCGAGAATCTACATTATGCGAAGCATGCGGAGGGTAGGTGACCGTGTTGAAATTTTTTTTATTGAGCGACACGTCATGAAATGACGCTAAATATATGAACAAATGTTGCAAGCAATGACATATGTTGAAGAGTTGCAGATATTTATATAACCGGTTGTTTGTACTTGCGCAACGATGTCAACTGGAACATGCGTATTAGCCACACCAGAATCTGATATGAAGCACTGTATCAAAAGAGTACATATGTAAGGAGTACTTGGGTCCCGTCAGCCAGAGGACACCTGCCTTTTGCCCTTGTATCCGAGAAATACATTTGTCTGAAATAAAAACAACAATAATGCTTATAAAATTGGGTAGATATCACTGAAACCACTATTGACGTTTCACGAAGATCAGCGTCTGTTTGAAAAGTAGTCCCGAGACCTGGCGTAGCTCTGTGTTAGAATGCTTGACTGCCCCACATAATGCTTGGGTTCTATTCCTGCTGGGACCCTGAAATTCATTATTTGCCAATAGCCGGGGGGGGGGGGGGGGGGGATCAATGCTGCCCATGTCGAGTTTTTCCGAACACTGACATTTATTCTATGCCATCGTTGGGTCGACGCTACCGATGTCGGGTATTTCTTAACGCTCGCGCGTTAAAATTTACCATGTGTGTTCTCGTCGTTCCTCGTTAGATACGAAGTGTCGGTAACCTGTAGCGCATACCAGCGGCACATACGCACCCGTGGGTACGTGTCATTGTCTTGCGGAAAGTGTTTCACAACGACCACGACGGGATCGCGACATTATTCAGGTCTTGACGAGCGCGTCATATTTGTCAAACCATCTTACCCTGCCAATGCTAATTTTGGTTCACGCCAAGTTAAGGCGGTGACTATGAGAGCGCTGAAACGTGAGCGGCTAGATAGATACGCTCAAAGTCGCCGTAGTTAAAAAATGCTTCACATTTGAGAGCACCAGGCCTGCGCAGAGCGCACAGCACAGTCACAGCAAAAGCTAGAAGAGCGGCCTTTCAGAGCCTTTTCTAAATACTCTTTGCGATGCTACAAGCACACTGCTGGGTACCCAATATGCCATAAATAATCATAAATTTTGTGTAGTAGGCTAGCATTTACTATGCTATCATTCGTCGTTCTTTGGAGAAGAGTTGTGTCCGCTACACACTTGTAGGATCTTATGTGCAGTTTATTTTTTATGCAGTGGCTGACGACGACGAAGAATTATGCCTGAAGTGGCTATGTGCCACAGTTAATATTGATTGATTGATTTGTGGGGTTTAACGTCCCAAAACCACCATATGATTATGTGAGACGCCGTAGTGGAGGGCTCCGGAAATTTCGACCACCTGGGGTTCTTTAACGTGCACCCAAATATGAGTACACGGGCCTACACCATTTCCGCCTCCATCGGATGCCACAGTTAATAGATGATTAGGAAGAAGTTTTATAATGGGTTGGAGCATTGGACGAACCACTCGTTACGCAATTCGCCTTGTGCGACGCCTGACCGTCTTTGATATTCTAAAACACTTTATTACTCATATCAGCGCGAGTCCTATCACGACATCAAGCCTGCCTTAGGCAATTTTGTGAACACGTCCCAAGCAGCGGCGTGGCTCAATAACCCCTTTAGACACTTTGTTGTATGAGATTTACTTTGTACCGTCAATGTACGATTGTCGACTTGACCCTGTGTATGTTTTACACTATGTGTATATGTAAGCCGCATCAGTATTCAATACCATGTAAACAAGGTGTCTTGGCTCAGTGGTAGAATACTGGACTGCCCCACTGTGTCTTTGGTACTACATAGGACCACTGGTGCCAAATGGTCAATTATGTACGATTATGTTGGTTTTAACAGGGACAGGACCACGACACAAAGCAATTTATTTTATATCTATGTAGACCGCTTTTTAAATCTTACTGCTCTTCCTAATTTTTACTGTTCTCCGTCATAAAATAGACACGTTTTACCTCGCGCACAAGTTGCAGTTAGGACCAACATAATCGTACGTAATTGACCATTTGGCACCAGCGATCAAATGTATGTGTATAACTGCAACTTTGCTGCCAAGCAGCACATCCTTTTTTTTTTTTTTACTCTGACTGATCGTTTCCTTCATCACGCTCCTCCTACTTCTAAATGTTAGCATATGGGTAGCGGTGTGTAGCTAAATTCTGTCTAGTAGATCTCGCGTTTCTGGCTAACTAAGACAAATACTAGCTTGTAAATAAATGAAATAGCAAGGACGAAGTCTATTACGTTTTTCAGATGATCCCCACGTCCGTTCTGCTTGCACTTACTGCTAGGGCGCATTGTTACGGCTATAAACACCTCCAAACCCCGAAAGTGGCACACAAAATCAAAAATATTTTTCTCGCTTAAAACAAAAAAAAAAAAACAATTTCATAAACATTTCTAAGTAAGCAGCCAATAAAGATTGCTACTAAGTCTGCTACTGGCCGTACTTTCCGTAGGACCGCCTAAATGTTGAATCCATGGGCTAACATGTCAAAAAACGAACACTTTTGCAAATTTGTCGCCATTTTTACAGTTTATTTCTCACTGTATTCGCCTGAAATTATTTTTGATCGACAGTAAAACATTTTGACAATGTTATATTGTTAACTATTACATTTTTTCTAATGTATTCTTCATATGAAAAAATATCCCAATGTGGGCCATATTCTCAATATTCAAGGCCATATAAAAACGCACGAAAGTGTAAAAGCTCGTAAAGGTTATTTTGAATAAAACGCATAGCATTGTTCTACAGGTGAAAATATGTCTTGACCTAATTTAAGAATAATGAATTTTTCGATAACGTGTTTTACGAGCTATGGTTGCTAACTTTCTGACAAAAAAATTGCAATGAGGCTTGCGGCACTAGAAAATTTTTTTCGCAAGAAATCTTTTGGGGAAACACTTTTGGCTTTAGGCAGTTAGTTTAGCCACGAGACCACCACGGCGGGGCGGCTGTGTCAATGTCAGTCAATCTGTTTTTTTTTTGTACAGCTTTATGATTAGTGTGAACGCGAAACGACACAATGACCAGAAGAATATAAACTTTGCTGATGTGTCGGTGCACCATACGGAAGCCCCAAACGGCTGTCGAAACGTCAGCGAACTTTGTGTTCTTTCGGCTGCTGTATCCTTTCGCGTTTCAATTCAGTGTACTTGCGAAATCAAGACCAAACGTAATAGCCGAGGAACCCTCGGTAGAAGCTATCTTTCGATAGCTTGACAATGGCCCCGCCGTGCTTGCCTAGTGGTCATGGCGCTTGACTGAAAATTGGAAGGTCGCCTTGTCAAATCCCGGCTGCGGTGGCTGCATAATCAATGGAAGCGAAAATGTTCGACGGCCGGGTGCTTAGATTTAGGTGCATGTTGAAGAAACCCAGGTGGTTGAAATTTCCGGAGCTATCTAATAGGGCGTCACTCGTAATCATATCGTGGTTTTGGGACATTAACCCCCAGAATTTTACGAACTTGCTGGCCAAGCCGTTCTATCAGCTACATGAAAAAACGCTATCAGGATTGTACTGATCATTGTCCTCCCTGCCAGTACATTTGTGTTTTAAAAAGGTGGAAGTCTGTACCAACTTTGTATGTTGCATGCTTACCTTTTTCTTTCTTTTTCGTGTTTTTTTTTCAGTGTGTGCACATGTGACTGAGACATGTGCCTCGTTAATAATGTAGGTCCATAATTATTATCATTTTATACCATGATTATTTGTACCCATACAATTGTATAAGTATGTGAATACAGAATGTTTGTTGACACTTTCCAACCTACTCCTGTAAAAATCCCCGACGGGATTGACAGTATTGTTAAATAATAATAATAATAATATTGTTGTTAGATAGCTTGACAATGTCATGGACACCTACAGCAGCTACTACGGCAACTACTACTCTCATGCACAGCAGCGGCTCCTAGTAGACTAGGACCGCTTCGTCGTGAAAGAAGATCGATATCATGTTGTGGTCCCGGGAGAATGCATTGTTGTTGCCTTTGTTTTGTCCTGGCTTTGGCGCTGCTATTAATTCTCGCTCCCATCTCTCCAGGTTGGTTGTTAGTTTGTCGAGACACAATCAATTTATTTATTGTCCTCATCGCAATGCTATCACTCGCAGAATTTTATACCGCCATCAGGTGCCTAAACACGGAGAAGATGGAAGAATGCGAAAGAACGTTAGCGCCAACGTCCAATCCGCAGGACGCCGGGAAGCCACCTGTCCCGGCGCCTCGCTGCATGTGAGTTTCGCTCCACCTCACTCACTATTTAACAGACCATCAGTCGAACGCAGCATCAATATGCCTTCATTTTGAGCAGAGCAACAATTACAGGGGTTGAAGAGAGACAGAGAGATAAAAGAAAGAGAGAAGGGCAGAGAGCTTGACACCCAATAGAAGATCTGGTTCTCAGCTGTACTCCACTGGGTCACTGGTGAAGTAAAAAGGTGAAAGGAAAGATGAAGCTATATAGAAAAGGAATGTGCGTATGAGATCATTACGTTCGTCATTGATGAGCATTTTATTCAGCCGCCGGTAGTGCAACAGAGAAAGCCCACCCTTTTGAAGAGACATTTTGGCAGGAACAGCGTACGAAATGGAAGAATGGGAATAACCTTCTCGGCGTATGTTTACGTCAGCTTCAGCTCGTGGCAAAGGAGGGAAGCCTCAAAAGATGTTCCGAAATAACGCAATTTGTGGTACGTTGGCATTCTAGCGCACAAGAAAAGATGAGGACATGTATTCGTCCGTTTTCACCCGGCCCCTGTCTTTCACTGTGCGCTAGATGCTGCGATGTCCCGAAATTCTATAATCTTTTACATACAGGCATTCATTCATACGTACACACTCCGACATTCATAATAATATTGTCTAACATTCGCAGTGTATTGTTGGCTCGCCGCTGTGATAACTATGCAATGACATAAATACGCATTACGTAACCATGCACTAGCTGTGAACACGATAGCGTCAAAAAGCTTATTTCTCAGAGACACTGGCGTCGGCGCCTTTGTATATGAGTGAAAAATCTGCATTGTCCGGGAACGCAAAAATCGAATATATCCGAATGAATAAAGAAACCATCGCTTCAGGTCTGAATCGTACTATAGGCCTTCTGCATGGCAAGCTCTGTACGAATGTTAATAAGTCATGCGGGAGTTTTATTGAAGCGAGTACTCGCACGAAACTTTCAGTTCTCGTCTGCTTGCGTCGAATGAAAGGGCAAGTGCTGCCCAGTAAACATACTGCCAAGTGTGAGTGCACCCTGAAAAAAAGTAATTACCGTACGTCTTTAGAAGCTCGTTTAGGTTCCTGCATGAACCCTGTCATCGCAATGCGGTATTATCTCACGCGTCATGGGCTCACGCAAGATGCCGTGATGTTTTCTCGGCCACTCCGCAACGTCGGCTCCGTTGGGGAGGCACAAGCGGCCATTTTGGAAGTTATAGTACATGACATGAAAACAACTAGCCAGGCTGCTGCGTGAGGTCACCAGAATTAGTACTGCCACCTGGCGTGAGGGGCTGTCAGTGGGTGCGCCATTGGTAAATTGACGTCTGTATCAAAGTAAAATACCGAATCAGCTTCACACTAGCTTAGAACCACCTGTATATACGCACGTGGTTTGTATGAAACCATAAACACTTTCAAGAAATGGTGTCGGTAGCCCTTTAAAACATGCAATATTGCATGGCAGAAGCGTAGAACTTCGCCATGCGTCAACCTTCTATTTGCGTAGGGAATTGTGGGTTTAAAGGCAGCACCCATAACAAAGCGTTCAGGCATTATTCACCGCCATCATCTGCAATGGCATCAGCAAAGGGGGAAGATTATCGGGTGCGTGTTGCCTCACGGACGCGTAGAGGGTATTTTGCGAATTCGAAAAAAAGTAAGAGTTATCACGTAGTGGGCAGTTCGCAACTGTACTGGAAGTAGACTCTCCACGATAGCTTGAAAGTACCTAGGTCACGCGCACGGACGTTCTTGCCCTGTGGCACGGCTGACGTTTACACCTGAGGAGCGATACCAGGCTTGCGATTAGAAGGCGCTAATAGAGGGGCCAGATTACGCTGTCGGTTTTGACTCTTGAAATAGAAGCTCAAGCCTCCCCGAAATCATTAAACGCCTTCTACATTACCACGGTCGCCAACAGTGACTCGCCGCTAATTTTTCCCTGACGATTGTTTCAGCAAAAACCCCGCGGAGACTGCCTGCTTCGACCAGGCACTCAACTCGTCCTGCACCCTGTCGATGACGACGGCCAAGGCAGCGATGGCCAGAGTTTTGAACGCCGCTGCAATGCTCAAGGGCTGCGAGTCATCTGCGAACGCACTCGTGGTTTCCAGAAGCTTTCTAGTTCTGCTGGTTGTTCCCCTTATCCTGAATTGGCTGAGGACATGACCAGTGGGCTGGAAGAAAATAACTCGGATGAATTCAGCGTAGGCCTTACGTATGGCTATGCTCATGACTATAAACCTCCTTTATTTATGGCGCTGCAGAATGGCGAGTTACCATTGTAACCTGAGTGCCCAGCCAGTACGATGTACTTTCGCCATTGTACTGCACGCTATATTGAGTTACGTTAAAGCATTGTCTTTCTAAACGGACTTCAAAAGTTCGAAGTTATAGCTGTGTTAAACGAGTTTTCATTGGAACGTCACGTCGCCATGATGGATGCCTGTACAACGTAATGACGACAACGTAACGTCAATCTTTGCTTTTTTGTGCTTTGCGAGGTTTTGTAGGTGTACATATTATGTTGAAGAGTGGCAATAAAGAAATATATATATATCTTGTTCATTCCGCCTTGTGAGGCCTCGATTGAAGACGCCGCTCTTGGAGGACACACGGACACTACAGACGTGGTAGAACAAAACCAAACATCGTGTACATTTATTCAATTACTTTGACACCGATGATATCACCAGCCGAAGCAAATACGGCACTATGACACGCAACGACAACCTTATCACAATATTCCTGTACCCTCAAAGAGCGGTTTGAGACCCGTGGGTCACGACCCGCGGTCATCACGTCTCGCGGGACCCTGTCAAAAGATGACCGTCCACGCCAGCCGCTACGCGCCAGAGAGCCACTCATGTCTTATGTGCCGCCACTCAGCCTCTCCACCAAGCGTCACTGCTGGCGCTACCACGCTAGCAGTGACAGTCTTGTGCATGAGATCAGGAGTTCAAGCAAGATTAGAAATTAAACAACGTGGAATAGGTAGGCTTGCTTTAGGAGCTCACGGGAATACACCAAATCGGGGAGTACAAGGTGATATGGGATGGACATCATTTGAGGGCAGGGAAGCTAGCAGCAAGATAAAATTTGAGAAGCGATTGAGAGAATTGGGGGAAGAGCGTTTGGCTAGAAAAGGTTTTCAGCTACTTGTACATGAAGAATGTCGATACAAAATGGAGGAAGCGAACCAGGAAATTGACTGGTAAATACTTAGAAAGCAGCAGGTGGCCAAACCAAAAAGAACTATCGGTTAAGAAGAAAGTGAAGGAAACGGAGACTGACATGTGGAGAATTGGGATGATTAAGAAGTCCGAACTAGAGATTTATCGAATTTTTTTTAAGCAGGAAATTGCCAAGGAAAGGATCTATGATAATACTCGGGGTAGTTCTCTACTGTTCGAGGCCAGGACAAGAGTATTGCGAACCAAGTCATATTGGGCCAATAACGATGGGGTAGACACGGTATGCAGTGCGTGTGGAGAGGAAGAAGAAACTGCCGAACACTTGATATTGTTCTGTGAAGGACTTCACCCTATAGTTCAGGATGATGGCGCAGAGTTTTTCAAAGCACTGGGGTTTAGGGACAGGGAGGGCAAAATAGACTTTAAGCGGGTAGAATTAACCCGCTGATCGGTGGCTAAAGTCAAAACACGAGTGAAAATTAAATCCTTCACTGCAAAGTACTTGTCCTCAACCTCACTATTGTAAGGAAAAAAATAAATCTAGTTTTTGGTTCACTTAGTATTACGGCTTGGTGGCGTTAGCCACCACCCGATCTAAAAAAGTACAGCCACATCCATCCATCCGTCCGTCCGTCCGTCCATCCGTCCGTCCGTCCGTCCGTCCATCCATCCATACATCCATCCATCTAGCGAGCCATGATTATTATGATGATGATAATGATGATGGTGATGATGAATCCTGCGCGAGCACTGCGCCACTTCTCGCTGTTTGTTAACCCTAAATGCGGCCTATCCACGAGGCAAGTGTGCGCCACACGGTGCAGACGACTTTACAGGAGGTTACAGCTCTCCCACAACATCCACCTTTTTAAAGAAAAGTAATTAGAGCGTAAACACGCAGTAAACGCACGCACCCAGGCCCCAAAAATGGACAGTGCTGAACCTGCTTGATGCCTGGATGTGTGCGTGGGGGATTGTGCCGCATGCTTGTGAAACGATCTAGCCCAACAAGTTCCTTTACAGTATACACTTCTACCTGCGCCGACCTTTCGGTTCAGTAGCAGAATGCCTGGCTATGTTCAGCCGTGGTGACTGCGGCTCAGATTACTCACGGAAAGTGTAATACTGATGTGGAAGGAAGGCGCTACCAAGTTGTCCTGTCATGTGATCATAATGAACTTAAAAGTGTCTGCTTCTGTGACCACAATTTAGCAACGCTCGTTTTGAGTCTCCAAAAACCAATGGGTGTTGTGAAAGTAGAACATCTCATGCTCAAGTGTTCCTTAACAATATAAAACATGGTTTTTGTCGGCTGCTGTGGAAGAAGAACTTGAGTTTTCGAGATGCACGGGAACACTCTGAAAAAGGAAAGAAGGTTACCGTGATAGAAAGATCAATTGCTTTGCCTAGAGGAAGAAATATAAAAGTTAAATGGCTTGAATGTCAACTAAATTTTTATTTATCTGTGTGCAATGCATTGTACAATACTAGATGGCGCCCGGAGGGGGGTCAACCCATTTGTTAGCATACGAACAGTTTGGACGTGTGGACGTACGGCCCGGGTCACTTCCACCGGGTGAAGTGCAGAGCTGTACTGAAATACTCATTAGAGTAAAATACTTTACCAAACAATGAAAGCTCACCATCTAATTATTTTGCGCGTTGTGAAAGGTAATATCTAGGCTCCGTCACCATGCATAAGAGATGCTTTGCGAAATCCTGTACGTGCTACAGAAAACTGCGGGAACTAGAGCTCACGGATAAACTGAACTGCACACCGAGGTATATAGTATCTGCCGAGCCCGCAAGGACGATTTACCGCCTCAGTTGTAGGCGACTAACGAGTACCACCATTTGTGTTCCATGGAACCGAATGTTCAACGTGGTGATAGTTTGCAGGCGTACACCATTGTCATTACTTGCGTGCTCGTGAAGGAACACGGACTTGCTTCAACAAAACACCAATAAACATCCCATACGGCTGCGCTTGTGTCAAAAACACGCTAAGACCCTAACCTAGAGAGCAATTTATTGCACTCGGATGATGCAGGTGTGACGAGCAGGATAAAAACATGTATCCATATCAAGAAAGAATACCCGCGTATGTTTTTCGCAAGGCCGAGTTCAGTGACGTTTCAAACACGATGCCATTCGAAAGATACCGAAGAAGTACACGGAAAAGTTAGCCGAGAGGCTTGTATTGTCGCCGTGGCTGCACGCTTCATCGGTTTAACACTTTGTTTTCAGCTCGAGCGTTTGAGGGACATTCGGTGCTCCATAATATCCTCAACAATTGCACTACATGCAATGTACAAGAAAGAGTATGCTTTCATTTTGATATCGCGGATTGATCTTACGAATTAAATACAATCAAAGGGATGTACGAGCATGACAAAAACTATAACGCACGAGGGGACTTGAAGTACAACTCCCTCCTCCTGAGTTAACATCTGATCGTGCATCGTCGCTGTAACTATCGGTGCGTTCAGAGCCGTCTACGTCCAGTGGAAAACCCTCGTCGTCAGGATGGTTTCTTTCGTCATCACTGCTCAAAGCAGTCTGATAATTTTCTCCGCCCAACGGCTTCGACCACTTCGGCCACATTTCGGCCCCACTGCGATGCCACGTTGATGTGGGGGCACATAAAATTTTCCTCTCAAACCTGTAAACAAGCAAATTGCTTGCAGAACCAGCATATTTAGTATTTGTTTTAAGAGGACTGCCGCGAACGCTTTGGAGATGAAGGAGAGCATGCTAAAATATTAAAAGCGATGTTTTGAGTATTTTATCAGAGTTAGGCAGGTAAAGACGTATTACACAACGCAGAGAAACCCATTATTGTTACAAACATTCAACGTCCAACAAGTTAGCGCCACAGGCAAAATACCAAGTGTTTTTATTTTTTTGTTCATTGCTTGACCGCTGCTTTTTAGTGGGCTTTGAAGAATCCCAGCAGTCCACAGGGTAATTAACCAACCCTACAAGAAGCAACGCTAATACCTTTCGTTGGCGAGAATCGTGTGATTTTATGCAGAAGAATAGTGACCATCAGGCATGCTATCAATGCTGGCATATCTTCTGATTTGCCTTCAAAACATACGGACTGCAATATTATGAGGAAGAGGTTCATTCAGCTGGGCTTGAGATATATCAATATGATGATGATATGTACGGATAATGAAGATACACAAGTGATAGTGTTACGTAAAGAGAAGGATAAGTGACTGGCGGCGGCTAAAGCGCCGCGGCGGCGCCGCAGCTGTCGACGCAGGTGTTTGGTGACGCAAATATTCGCTTATCTACGCCGCCGTTGTGGGAGCAACGCTGGCCGGGGTGAGCGGGGGGGGGGAGGAGCGGGAAACCCGCCAGGATGGCGCCGAAGAGCAAACGTTACGGCGCATACGGCGGACGGCCGTTCCTCGCGGAATGACTCCTTGTAAATGGCAACTCTCCTTCCAGCCAGTCGCACAGCGACGCAGGTTATTTACCAGCCTTGTTCTTGGAGTATTTTGACGGAATGCGATTGCAGTGGGCGAAAAATAGTGAAGCAAAACTTGCGGAAAACAAAGTGCACCATGGAATGGCCAGAAACAATAATTATTTCGTCCTCGGTGGCATTAGCGGGAGAGCATCGCTACACCTTTTTCCAGAGGAATTTCTTTTTGCATTGTCTGTGTCTGGCACTTCCGCGTATGGTGCCGCAAACACTGAATGCGTAGTCGAAGCTGGAACAAATTAATCCACAGTCGCGGATGTTTAGAAGGCTTGTCACGCACCACGAAACGTGCCGAGGTTGTTATAACAAGCTTTTTGCTGACCACATGATCAGCACATAATTCCATATGGTTACCCAATGAGCTAGCTAAGCACCTGTAGCAAAGGCAGGGCACGTTCTTGTTAAACGTTGTTAATATAAACGATGGTTGTGCATAAGTGCAGTGACAGCTTTCCGTGTGAATTGGTCATAACCCACGTTTTCGATCGTAGAAGCGCCTCAGCGGACCTAATTAGCTACCACAGCAAGTTCGTAAGCAACGATGAGGTACGAAAATGTGCAGCTGTTTTCCATGTACTGAATAGTCCGCGTACAGTGCGTTGACCACCGCCATTCCTTAAGCCACCTCCCACATAGACTCCCAGTCTGAACAGGTGTGGGACTTAAACACTAAGAAGCAGTGTCCCTCCCCCCGCACACAAACACGAAATTTGAGGGCGCACGGGCTGATACACACGCATACTTATTCACAGGCGCACACACATACACGTATACACACATACGGTCACACACACGCGCGACCGTAAACGCACGCATGCATGGGCGTAAACATGTGCACAGGCACGCTTAACACAAGCACGGACTCGAACATACACGCG